CCAACCACCAAAACCCCGCTCACCCGTGCCCCCAAAGTTTACCCCCGCCGCAACCGAGCACAGCCCACCAATCAGCCAACCAAACGAATGAATGGTGTACAAGGCAGACTGGCCATCTTTTATAGCAACCAATCCTGAGCCCTCCCCTTTTCACTCCTCCAATATCGATCGATTCGTCGGGCAGTCACCCATACAGCTTCCAACCCTTTTTCTCTCATTCCCCTGCCCTCTGGCAATACTTATGTGCGTTATCGATTAATTCGTACTTTAGATAATAGAATAGAGACATATGTAAGTTAAGTAAGATAACTTACGTCAATCTATTTGTTGTCAAATTTTCCATATATGTAAATTAGGTTAGTCGAAAAAGAAACTTATCCGTCCAGCGTCGTAAGTGATAAAATCTTTTAGGGGTGGCAAGTGAAAAGAATGGGGAGGTCATCATTGAATAGTTGGGCTTTTTGGTCGCAAGTTGATTTTAGGCTATGGCCAATTAGGCTGCTACTTGATTAGTGATGTAGGAGAGCTGTAGAATTGGCTTTATCAAGCAATTACTGGGGAGCAGAAGGAAGAAGTGACCGATTTCTAATTGGACGCGTACTAGTAACTGACCTCTTGCTTGCTGATGCGATCTGGAAGGGAAGAAGGAGGAGCTAATGAAATTACCTTCCTCCAAGGTGTATATCTGGTGAACTTTGACCCTCGCTGCTATAAACCTGGGACGTTTTGAATAGGCATAAATTTCAGGCTGGTCATCAAATGAGAAAAAATAACAGATGACTCCTCTAATATCAGGTTATGAGTTATGAGATATGAGTGATTCATTAATAACAATGCATGCATGGTACAGACATCAAAGAAGGAAGTATGTCTATTTGGACCTGAAGTATGACCCAGTAAACTTTAGAGGTCACACTGTCAATTCTCTCCATTTGAATGCAATTGTTTAACTCCATCATCCTTATGTTTTATCAGAATAGATATACCAGTTTACGGGATCGTATATTCAGAGCCTACTTCCCTCATAAATTGTACATTCATACCCTAACTCTTCCCGCAGGGTACATTTTATGGCATTTCTTTTTTTGCCTCCTTATCATTTAACAATAAAATCAATTAGCGGTGAACGAATATTTCATAAGGCATCAGCAAATGTTAACCAAAGATAAAGAACTATTTTAGATTTATCCACATTTCAGCACAAATTAGGCTTTTGCTTTACACTTTCCTGTTTAATGTTGTGGCTAATTTTTTTTTCACTTGTCAATTACTACCCGAGATAATGATGGATTATTTTCCATGCAAATGTAAATTTGTTAAAATCTTCATTGGATGAATGACTCCCATCATGTGTGTGTCATCAGTATTATTTCCCAATGAGCTGTCATCATCACTTTCCTGTTCTTTTTCTTTTTTTTAATGACAAATAAGATATGATGATGAAATACGAAAGGAAGAGGGAGAATATGTAAGATCTGATGATTTGATTTTGCGGTACTGTTTTGCTGGTGAATTACAAATAAAACAGACAACGGCAAATGAAGGACTGGAAAAGAGGAAATTTGAGAAAGTAACGAAAAGAGAGGCGAACAATTCACAGTGTGAATGGAGTGCTATAAATAGTGTTATCACATTTTTCCTTTCTCAACATAGAGAGGCCTTCAATCAACCAATAGGAGAATGGGCACACGACTGCTGTTGCCTCACACTCCAATGTTTTGCCTATCGATCTCAACCTTTCAATAGTGGCAAAATCTATCAATGAATGAGGTGATATCATAGTAGCTCCTCAAAATGTTTTAGGGACTATATTATACATGTTTTGGTTTAATGAAAAATAACACCTGTTCACTTTCAAACCATGGATAGTCCATTATAATACAATCCGGTATTAGCATATCTAATTGCTCAGCTTTCCAGTTATGCTTTTCCTTGGGGTGAAGCTAGTAGACATGCGTGGAATTTATTAATTTTTACGTAAAATATTTTTACATTTAACAATGCTAATACATATTTCGCAAGTATTTTATTACTAACTGAAAAGACTACATGTGTTTTAAGGACTTATTCCTTGTTATCATATGACAAACATTTAATGGCAGTTTGTGTTGCGTGACTAATCGTTCCACCAATAAATAAAGCACAATTACATTCTGGAAAATGCATGAATTTCATGACCCACAACAAATGCTAGTCATAGAGCGTTAGCTAGCCATATACGACACAAATGTTCCAATCTTAAAGCACACAGAAATATAAGTTCACAAGGAACAAAATGGGGAACTGGAGGTTTGTTTACACCTGTTTAGCATATAAATCACAGTACAGTTGGAACAAACAATTAGTGAATTCTGTGAAAATTCTATGAATCTTTTTACCAAATCTTGCTTCGGGCATTTCAATATGAGCATGACGGATAATAGTCAGAAACAAGAAATAAAAAAAGACAGAATCCAATCTTGAAAGCTTTAATTCAACAAATAATCAGGGCACTACCTCATACTATTATTAGGACACGTCTTACATTGAATCAATGGAAAATCCATACATTCGAGGTGAGATCGTGCCGACATTCTCTTGTGGAAAACATGATTCAACAAAAGTAGAACTTTTTCATCTTTCAACAGATTCTATTAGAAAAAAAATGAAATTCTACTCTATATACAGAAATTAAATATAACAAAAAATTTATACCAAACCGAACTATTGATCTAAGATTATTGAGCACTTGGACTAGATCACATCCAATAAAAAGCAACAACAACAATTTAACATACAAATTGATTTTACAAAAACATGGGCGGGTTAGAATATAGATGCATCAAAACTCAATGCTGAGAGGAATGCCCGCGTTTCTTGCTAAAGTTTCCATATTATTACAAAACGGTGCTGTGTGAGAAGACGTCGTCTTTTTGATAATCCTTCGTTTTCCGATCGTCTAAATTACTTAACAAATTGCTTACAAGAAAAAAGGTTATTTACAAGATTTTCTAAACTATTGTAATCAGAAATGATAAAGTTTTTATATTCGGCCAACTTCAGCCTGACCCTTTCATAACAGCAAATAAATATATTCTGAATTAGATTCTAATTTTTTTTCGCCTCTGCATATTGAATTGTAATGCCATATTCTTGAAAATTTTTGCATTGTGGGTTTCTTTCAACATATTAACAACTTCCTGAGTATTACCATATGGAAGACTATTTAAGCACTGCCTGAAATGTAAAGCGATTAGAATCAAAAGTAATATAAGCAATATTTTTTCTGAAGGAAATGAAATAGAGATCAAAAGGGCAAAAGGCTTAGCAGTTCAGAGTTGTAATATTTCTCTGAAATATTCTAACCTTGTCTCCTGCGGATAATTTCGAGCAAGTAACATCAAAATTTCCGAAAGGGCTTCAGCTGTTGATTTCATGAGTTCAGTTTGTAGGCGATTAAATACAACGCTAATGAGATTTTCGCCAACTTCTTGGAGCACTTCTGTGAAAGCACCATTATTGATTATGTTCCTAATTGCTGTAGCAAGCAGAACTGAACCCTTCCGACACAGATTCGTATCTTTACTATTGGCCAATATCTAAAAACATGCTTCCATTATATGTTCATCGCAGTATACAAATTAAAGACCGTATTTCCTGACATCCTATATTTAATATTAAGAAATCTCTAAACTTAACATAATAAACATTCTCCTCAAAAAATAATTCATATTGGTGAGAATTCTTATTTCTCTAGTTAGCACCTCAATGAAAAAAGTTTCAATAATAAAGCTGACCTTCAGTGCTATGTTGAGCACCGCTCGAAGAAAAGTATATCCATGTGACGGTGAATTACACACAAATTTCCAGTCTTTCTTCACAATGTGATAAGCCAATTCTATATATTCTTCACTAAATTCTTCCACTGATTCATCAATATTTTTGAACCAAGATGCCATTTGCGCCGCAATTTTCATAATTAAATCATTCAAATCACTACTCGAAAAAATTAAAACTACTGATTTTGCTAACTTGCACGCAGCAGTTGGATGCCTCAACATTATAAAATCAAGTACAACACAATATGAGTCCAGTAATGCTTCAGCATCATCTTGAACAGCTATCAATCCTGAACGAAGAACATCACAAACTTTCTCAACCAAAATTTTTGAAGATGAGAAGTTTCGAAGCAAATTCAATAGCAATGGCATGGATTGCCACAGTACGACGTGGACTGCTTTTTTTGAATGGTTTTTTTCTTTCGATTGATTTTCATTGGTAGAAATATTAGCTTGCATTTTTTGAGTACCTATCAAAGAGGAAAGCACATCGAGCTCAAAAATACATTCCTCTTCGAGACTTTCTGTTGACTGAGAACTTGTAGGCACATGTCCTTCAACAATTAATTGCAGAATTTTTAATCGTGGTGTAAGAATTGAATCCAGACTTTTCAGCACATAATCCGATTCTTGTACAGCCAATGAAAAGCCTAAACATCGAAGCGCGCAAATCCGCAGTTTCCGTGGTTTCTGATTGTCATTGAAATATTCGTAACATTTCTGAATCACTCGATTCATGATATCCAAATGTGACGTCCGCGACTCAACATATTTCTCTAGATTTTTGAGTGCCTCTTCAGTGCAACCAGTAATATCAATAAACGACAATGCAAGCTCCATACAAATTGTTTCCTGCCTATCTGCTTCAGCCCCTGTACAGATAAGATGTGATAATGAATAAAAGAGATTCATCAACGATTTTCCAAGTTGACTTGCTCCATAAATACTATCCGTAAGATGCCAAGACAAAAGTGATGTACATTGTTCCAAAATCTGATTGATTATAACTGTGTCATTTTCCGTCATGTAATCTGCTATTCGTTCAAGAAGATAGAAAACTACCTCCACCCTAAAGATAGATAAAATACGGAAATATAGCATATCATATACTTTTTATCATTACAAAAAATAATATATATATTTGTAAGGTTTCAGCTAATAATGTTGAGAATGTATGCTTACCTGAATGAAATTAATGGTCACGAAAGAGGATATTAGAGGCTACCCGAACACCTATTATAAAAATGTAGATTAAAGTTTTCTCCGTGTGATAAAAAACTGTAGAGTGAAACGAAACACTAACGAATCGTCCATTAGAACCGTCTTACTTCTTAATAGTGTTGAATACTCTAGTTCTTTTCCTTACCGACATAAACAAGCAAATAAGAATTTCAAAACAACAAATGAAACTCAATATTCAGCAATACAAAATATAAGTCCGATCTATTGATCGAATGTTTTATAAATATCAAAAAAAACAAGCAGCAGCAGCAAACTCACTTGCAAATATCAGTTTCAAAGATCGCTTCACCCAACACCTTTACCAACATTAAAGTAGAATCTGACGGTGTAATCTCAAATGTATTTAAGGAAACTTCAACGCGTTGAGAACGGTATCTAAATTAAAAGAAATTCAAATAACTTAAATTTCTATGAAGCAAACAACCTATCTCCGACTGAAAAGAGTTCTTACATAAACATTTTGATAAATAGATAAAGTCTGCAGCTCTATGTTTACTTCACATTTCAATGCGTCAAGCACTTAGAGCATCGAAAAATCTTTTCTATATCAAAAACATTATCAAGGACAGAAGAGAGATTATTTAGAAAGCGAAATCCTTCGCAGTCATTTCATTAAGCTTGATAATGGAGCTGTAAGTATTCTTTTTTTGCAGAATTCTCAGTTATATATTAATTGACAAAATGTTACTAAAACCTTTCAAATTTCTCCACTTGTTCTTTATTAAACAGTCGAAAAACATTCTCAGGTGGATATGCAAGTTTTGTAATCGCAGACCA